TACTGCCATTCATATTTAATCCATATTTCCCATAAATACTGTCATTCATATTTAATCCATATTTTCCATGAATACTGTCAATCATATTTAATCCACATTTCCCATGATACTGTCAATCACATTTAATCCATATTTCCCATAAATACTGTCCATCATATTTAATCCACATTTCCCATGATACTGTCAATCACATTTAATCCATATTTCCCATAAATACTGTCCATCATATTTAATCCACATTTCCCATGAATACTGTCAATCATATTTAATCCGTATTTCCCATGAATACTGTCCTTCATATTTAATCCATATTTCCCATAAATACTGTCATTCATATTTAACCCATATTTTCCATGAATACTGTCATTCATATTTAATCCATATTCCTACGAATACTGTCAATCATATTTAATCCATATTTCCCACGAATACTGTCAATTATATTTAATCCATATTTTCCATGAATACTGTCATTCATATTTAATCCATATTTTCACGAATACTGTCAATCATATTTAATCAATATTTTTCACGAATACTGTCAATCATATTTAATCCATATTTCCCATGAATACTGTCATTCATATTTAATCCATATTTCCCATAAATACTGTCCATCATATTTAATCCATATTTCCCATGAATACTGTCAATCATATTTAATCTGTATTTCCCACGAACACTGTCAATCATATTTAATCAATATTTCCTACGAATACTGTCAATCATATTTAATCCATATTTCCCATGAATACTGTCAATCATATTTAATCAATATTTCCTACGAATACTGTCAATCATATTTAAAGTAGAGGCCAACTCATTTTTCAATAAATTGTACTTCCATGCAATATAAGGATATTGACTTATAAACAGTTTGGGGTCACCAACTTAAAGTAGAAGCCTACTCATAAATTAAAATACCCAGGATTTATTTATTTTGCAATAAACTGTACTCCAAGGCAATATAACGATATTGACTTTTAAAAAAGTTGGGGTCACCAGCCTTTTTTTCGAGAAATTAATGGTATTTTAGTGGACAGTCGCCATTTTGACACTATCATAACACTTTTACCACAGGTTTCTATGACAGAGATATTATGTAATATCTCGAAATCTAACCTGGTGACATGGGCTGTAAAAATCACATATTGTAATGATGGACTACTTCTTGTTGTTCTAAATTATTTGAAAAATCTGGGTTTTAAAAAGTGTCAAAAATGCAATTTTTCTTTAACATTGTGTTCTATGAAATTGTTCAAAAAATTGTTGTAAAAAATGTTCGATTTTCAAAAAACATTAGGACACGTTTCTCAAAAAGCTTAACTGTAACACACACAAATGCTACTTCATTGTACCATGGGACATTAGCTTCATGATTGTACATAATAAACTAATGAACATTGTCATGCGATTTATGACCAATTTTGACAAAAATTATGAGTAGGCTCCTCAATTAATTTTCGGGAAAATGATGGTTGTATTTTAGTGGATAGTGGCCATTTAACTGTATTATAGTGCTTTTACCATAGTTTCCTATGGCAGAGATAATATGTCATATCTTAAAGTGTAGGCTGGTGACATAGGCTGAAAAAATTATATAAAGTTATTGGTGGGGTACTTTTAGTTGTCCTTAAAATATCTGGGTTTTAAAAAAAGTGGCAAAAATCAATTTTTCTTTAACATTGTAGTCTATGGATTAGTTCTAAAAATAGCGATTTTTGAATAATATTAGGAATGTTTCTCAAAATAGTTCATGGTTCACTGAAACAATTACGCAATAACATTGTCGTGCGACATATGACCAACTTTCTCTTTATATTTCCCACGAATACTGTCAATCATATTGGATCCATATTTCCTATTTCTCTGGAATACTGTGCAAATCATAACTTTATTACTTTTCATTTTGTTGGAATGTATTTTTAGAGTACTGTATCTTTGTATTGCATGTTTTTCTAGTTTGAAAAATAATTGACTCTATTTCCTATACCATAGGATTATCTCGATATTGAATGTGTGGGTAAAAAAGCGAAGAATATGAAGAAATAAATAAACAAAATAGTATACAATATTTATTTAAAAGCTTTTCTGTCATATTTCTTTAAACTCTTGGTTAACATAGTATGTGTTTCTTCCAACATATAATTGTTCGGCGCAGTTTTCCGAAGTTCTCCGAACAAACCTGAATAATGCTGCAGTGTGTTCTTTCTTTGAGTCTTGAATTTAGCATAAACTTCTTTAAGTTTCCTGTTTTCGTCTCTCAATGTTACAACTACTCTTTGATACTTTTTGTATTCACTGAGCTGGTCTTCCAATTCCGACAGTTTCCACTTGTATTCTTCCTCGCTAAAGTTATGTTTGTGGAATGTCTCCAGCGCAACCGTGGCTTCTGATAACTCTTCGATAGCCAGTTTATGTTGTATTTTTTCATCACTGACTTGACGTTCTCTATCTCTTGACTTATCCAACTCATTTTTAGTTTTTTCCAATTCTTGTTTCAGCAGGTCAATTGCTGATAACAATTCCAAGTTATTTTGCTCAACCTCGTTCTTTACAGTGTCTCGTATTTGCAAGTTCAACTTCAAGTCCACCATTTCGTCGCACAATTGTGCCTCTTTTCTTTCCTTCTCTAACTGACATTGTTCTCTTAAACGTTTCTCTTGTAGTTCATATTGCTGAACTTTACTTTCCTGTTCGTCTTTCATCGACAAAAGTCGGGACTTACTGTGTTGTAGTGACTCAACCAATTCAGACACGTGTTGTTGCAAACCTTTAAACATTTTCTGTAAATCGTGTATCCTGTCTGGGCTATCAGAATCATGCGACCTCTTATTTGTCTTTCGACGAAAACACAAAAGTGTGTTGGACTCGTATTTGGTCCGATATCTGTCGTTCTCGTCTTTCATCTTTAGAAACTGAATTACAAAGTCTTGTAATGCGCCCTCAAACGTGTTCATGTTGTCCAGCTCATCCATAAAGTTGCCTGGCGCAGTATCACTGTAGACAGAGCTGAAAAAAGGATAAGCGAAAATAAGATTACATAGATTATGAGGAATACTCGTCAACAGCGAGTCGATACAATTTCAAACGAGTTGGTACTAATTGCCGGCTGTCTTTCACTCACCTCTGGAAGTCATTGACCTCTGAAGCACTTGACTTTACATCGGTACATTGATATTTCTTTGAATGACTCACTCCCATGATTATTTTGTAAGAAAATGTTGTTGTAATGTTTAAAATGTGGAGGAGTTCAAATATAGATGCACACAAGGCAAAATTTTATCGAAAAATGACGATTGACGAAGTCTCTTGGCAACAAAAATGTTCTATACCCACAATACAAAGCGCGAACAATGACACGTCATAATAAGAACGTATTCTCGGCATGTTCGAAAAAACGCTTCGCCATTCGCCATTCCATGTCTTCATCAGATCACGTTTTATCTCACAAGACATAGATTGGTCTAGTTTCCTGTGTTTGTTTCCTGAACGCATAATACCGGTGTATGTCGTGATACTTATAAGATACAACCAACTGGACATTTTTCTGCAGCGGGATGGGGGAGGGGGCGGTGGCACGAGAGGCCTATAAGTTCTCAATAAAATTTTGGAAAAAAAAAAGAGTCGAACCATAAAATTGTGTCTATTGCAAAGCAATTCAACTGACAACCAGTTTGGCGGCACTAGATTCGTACAGAAGGGAGTTCTACGCATGATTTTATTGCGTTCAAAAATGTTCCATTATAAACTGTACATGTAAACGGAGTAATTTTTCAAAATGCATACCAATTAGGTAAAATGTCACTAGTAAAAGTTACTGACAAACAAATTTGCGCAATTCTGAGCAAAAGTACTAGTCTAGATTTTTTTCGATTACTTTTTTAGCTCGTCGTTACGAGTCAGTCAATTTAGAACTACCATTTCGGGTATCGAAATACATTTTGGAACAGTTTTACTGCACAGACGATTTTTTTTATTGTCATGAATATTAATTTATGCAAATGATACGATTTTTCAGTTGATCGCATCTTGCACCCCTCGGTTTACGGATTATGAAATGCTAACGCCCACCATTGCCCAAATATCTAACTCGTCATTCATCACACTCGGAATGGCATCTGATTGTCATTGTCCCATCATCCAGGAATTCAGTCAATTTAGAACTACAATTTCGGGTATCGGAATACATTTTGGAACAGTTTTACTGCACAGACGATTGTCATTGTCCCATCATCCAGGAATTGTCGTACAAACGTGTCAAAGTAACTGACATTTATAACATTTTCCATGTCCATCAGAACTTGTAAAGCATGTATTTCAATTATAAGTCACGCAAATAAAACAAGTTTAGCGATGTATTGTAACTGGAGTTCAAGTTTTTTTTTTTATTTCTCATTCCGGTTCTAGTAGCAAAAATAGGATTTTTCAAAAGTATAATAGTAGTGGAATACGCCTGTGATAAATACAATGTTGTGATAATACTTCCTGTCATCCATATATCGTAACAGAAATACATTGGTTTATAAGTAAATAATATCGTATTAATAAGTCATCAGACTGAAGTGGATTTTTTTTTTCAATTTCGCTTAAAAGTGTCATAAACAGGATGTGTTCAGAAAGAATGATGGCATTGGAATTTCATGTTCATGCATAACTAAAATTAAATGACTTCCACTGAGACTTTTAAAGGTGCGGGGGAGTGGCAGGATAAACTTTATTGTACTGACATTACTTGAAAAAAACCAAAAACAAATCTTATCGAAATACACCTGGCGCAACAAAGTGATTTCTCTATCTTTATAAATATTTTATAAATTTCAATGACAGTTGAATCAAATAAGCCAATGAACTAGTACAGTACGCAATGACGTCATTGGAAAAACGTCCCAACGCTATTCGGCCAACAAAAACCTTTCGTTTCAGTTTGAATTGTGAAGTTTATAAATTTGCATAAAGATTAAGGTAATACCTCTGTTGGACCGAGAGTACTTGTTGTCTTACTTATATG